AACGTCAAACAGCGTCGGACGCCTGCAAACGCCTGGGTAGGCAACCCGCATCACTCGCCCCACCCAATTTAGTACGGGCTCCGCAACTGGGCCTATCTTTTAGTACGGAATTAGTATGTTCAATCTATGCCATTTTTGGAATTAGTACGACCCTCCTTCAGGCACTTTTCATGGAATCACATATATCAGGAATCAAATCCTCGATGGTTGGGTGTAACACTCCGAGATTTTGAGAACGCTTGACCGGTAATATTAATCTTTCGTACACTAACTTCGATTAGGGTACGGCGACGTTTTGCGTAATTTCAATTTATTTGCGCCAAACCGTTCCCGGAGTTGCACGATAGAGCGAAAATTTTCCGCATCTTACCTGTCAGCCCCCACTCCCCAGTACACTCGTACCGTACAACCCAAGTCACCGACCAGACCCCGTTTGATCTGTGGTAGAATATTTAAAAAAAGACATGCTTTTAGGAAAATTAAATGTTTGTGTTGTCACGCACGTTATTATGCATGTCACGGGAAATTTGGAAATTACTCTCTTTCTTGTGTGTGCAATGTCATAGTCAGTGTTTTATGAAAAAAAAAAATCTCAGTCCAGAATCGATCTTGAAAGCAGATGATACACATTTGAAAATAGGTCTTTGGTTTGTGCATTTGTTCTAATTTTCTCTAATTTAGCTGTCATTTGCTTATGGCTGCTTGTTGCTTGCAATCTTGCACACACAAGAAAGAGAGAAATTTCCAAATTTCCCGTGACATGCATAATAACTTGCGTGACAAGTCACAAACATTTAATTTTCCTAAAAGCATGTCTAATATTCTACCACAGTTCAAACGGGGTCTGGTCGGTGACGGGGGTTGTATGGTACGAGTGTACTGGAGAGTGGGGGCTGACAGGTAAGATGCCGAAAGTGGGCCTCTATCGTGCAACTTCAGGAACGGTGCGGCGCAAATAAATTGAAATTACACAAAACTTCGCCGTACCCTAATCGAAGTTGGTGTACGAAATATTAATATTACCGGTCAAAGCGTTTTCAAAATCTGGGAGTGTTACACCCAACCATCGAGGATTTGATTCCTGATATATGTGATTCCATGAAAAGTACCTAAAGGAGGGTCGTACTAATTCCAAAAATGGCATAGATCGAACATACTAATTCCGTACTAAAAGATAGGCCCAGTTGCGGAGCCCGTACTAAATTGGGTGGGGCGAGTGATGCGGGTTGCCTACCCAGGCGTTTGCAGGCGTCCGACGCTGTTTGACGTTGAATTTGGGTACCTTAGAAGGTCGTACTAATTCTGGGGATGGGATATTCGGAACGTACTAATTCAGCCGGTCAGAATGGTGTACTCGTTGAGCCGATCCGGTGATTGGGTGGGGCAGCGTGAAGCTGGCCCCACCACCTTGCACCTGCGAAAAGGACCTGAAGGAGGGCCGTACTAATTCTGAAAATGGCATAGATCGAACATACTAATTCCGTACTAAATGATAGGCCTAGTCACACAGCCCGTACAAATTTGGGTGGGGCCAGCGTGAACCTGGCCCCACCCAACTTCGGATTGACTTTTAAGCTACTAAATATTCCGTACTAATTCTAATTTTAGTATGGTTCGCACATTCTAATTGCGTACTAAATCGTGGTACTATCGGCAGAATTAGTACGGCAATGGGTGGGGCCAACTTCACGGAGGTGCCGGGCGAACGGCCGGCCGATCAAACCACGTCGAAGCGCTCTGTTGTGTTGTTCTTGTTTGTCATTTTGTGTTTTTTGATGTTGTTGTCTTGCTTCGACGGGTGGTGCCGCCGTCCCACCCGGCCCGCGTTTGTGGTGCTCATGTAATGTGGCGATCGGAGAGATCGGAGAGCAGGCGCAAAGTAAAGCAGAGCGAACCTTGACAGTGACATAATGGGTCGGCATGTCGAGATGAGCAGCTAATGTGTCTGCCCCGCCCCGCCCC